GGGGGGGGGGGGGGGGGGGGGGGGGGGGGGGGGGGGGGGGGGGGGGGGGGGGGGGAGCAGTTCGTTGGTGAATGCACCAAAAACATTCACGGATACAGACATGTATGCCATTCCACTATTTTCAATGTTTCGACATGAATTCTCTTGGTTGTAACTTACGCGTTCGCAAATGAATGACGTTCTCGGAAAGGACATCACAATCCCTCCCTAGTATCGCTTATTCCAGTGGTGCATACCCATCTCTCAAACATTATTCATCTCCGGAATATTGGGCACGGGTCACTTACTCCATGCGGTGCTATGAGCGCACTACCCCCTGCCGTCGACTTCAGCACTTCACATCAGGCCACCAACACGGTTTCGATCACAGGACTATGCCTGTCGACAACACGTCAACAAGACGTTGAGACGTACTAGTGCACACCGCCTGGCGGCCTGATCGTCGAGGGCTATGCTCATGAGCGCGTTACTCACCGTCCCTCCTGTCGTCGTCGTACCAGGGGTCGTAGGTGTACGAGTACGAGAACGAGAAGTCGAAGGAGAGGTCACCGAAGACGTCATCGGGGTAGTCGCGTACAGGAGCAGCGGGCACTGCAACAACACACGAAGGGAAGGAGAAAAGTGGTGGCGGCGGCGGCAGCGGTGGCGGCGGCGGCAGCGGCAGGAAAAGTTGGGGACCACAAGTGGTACGGGTATCTACTAGGCGCGCAGCGAGAACAGCAGTCGCATTCAAGCTCAACTCCGAACACGAGTGAGAGACTGGTAGTGGCGCACGGAAGGCCTCTGCGACACCCCACCAAACAATATTCGCCAGGTGGAAATGTATGGCATAGAAAAAACTGCCACTGCTGTCACTTATACCTTTCATCATGTACAGTGACTGGCACGCAGCGTACACCGAGCACTTGCCGTCTGATGTTAACGACGGACAAAAGCTCGCGCCCCCATGCCTTAACGAAGTCGTGAGGCACTACACATCCGTACGCGACAGCGGCAACAGCACCTACCCGGGGTCGCGGGGGTAGCGAAGCTAGGCGCAGGGGTCTTGGGAGAGACGGGCGAAGGAGCGGCATCGTCGTCTGGGCCAAGTCGAAGTTGTGATTCACGTTCACGTTGCCGTTTCCAACGGCCGTTCGTTGCAGTAGAGTACGAGAAGTTTCAGGGCGGCAGAGCAAGTGGTACAGGGTAAAGAGATGGCACTTTCGTTAGACATCCATGCAACAGCTGCGCTCGTCGTTTTGATGGCTGCGACAAGAACGAAAGTGCAAAAACCCTCGGGAGGTTCCTTGCGAAGCGTTGTCGAAAAGATCGCCGGTACGTTGTGCAGACTCACAAGTTCATCCGCAACGCATCAAAAAGTTTGATAGCAAGACGAATGAGAGCGGCCTTGGGTCTCCTCCATAAACATGGAGCATCATTGCCAGCAAACCGAGACTACTTACTAAACCGCGTACGCCGCAATATACCTTCAAGAACCTTCCGTGGAGCACTGCATTCCCACGAATATCGCCAAGTCAAAGACAACATCCAAGAGAACACAACTGTGCCAACATGGGCCTCTTCGCACGGCCGCAAGTACGGTCGGTGCCTCATCATAACGTCAACGTGCGTGCCGTAACGTACCGCAGACGGGCACGACAGCCCACCCCTCGAGGGCAGAAAGGTCGGGCGTGTTTCCCTCGTCGTCAGCGTAGGACACGGACGCGATGACCTCGGCGCCCTCGGGCTGCCCGCACCAGTCCAGCCAGACCTCGAAGTTGGTTGGGGTGGCCTCGAGGTCGTCGACGGTGAAGACCACGTCACCGCCGTCGTAGGTGGCCACGCCGCCGTCCACGGTGGCCTCGGTCACCATGCCGTTGAACTGGACCGTCACCGTGGCGCCCGTGGCGGCGCAGGGCACGCTGCCGCCGGAGGCGGAGACGATGTCTTCGAGGGCGACTGAGATAAAACAGGTCGGAGCGGTCGCGCGGTCGAGGGGAGGGGGGGCGCTTTCGTCAGGAGTATGGGAGAAGTGAAGCGTTCGGGGGACGAGCACGTGTGAGGTGCTTTGCAAGAACAACATTTTGGGAGCAAATCGCAACGTTGCTGTCCAACGACGAACAATCAACTTCACACAAATATTTCGGTGCAAGTTGGACACTCACGGTCCAACTCCTCGAAGTTATCGACGTCGAAGACGTTTGCCTCGTCCCCTCCGATGGCGAGGAGGTTCTCCTGGGACGGGCCCGAACCCACACCGACGGCGTACAGGATGGTGCCCTCAGCCCGGGCCGCGTCGGCTTCATCCTGTGTGGCGGAAAAAAAGCGTGCGCACGCCCACAGCAAGCAGACGGGAGAGGAAGAGGATTTCAAATGGTCCGCATGCACAATTAAACACTTTGGCCGGAAAAAAAGAAGATCTGAATATTCCGGTAAAGGCGAGCGGTGAATTCGACCCCGATAAAATCGTTCGTGCACGCAATCTGCATCGGGATGAATGGGTCCCGCAAACAAGGGCATCGATCCAACCAATCCCGCGGCGTTTGCGGCTTTCCCTATCACCCCCGTCACGGCCAAACGAAATGAAGCGTGCCACAGGTATGCGCTACCCGCCCGAGAGAGATCACCCAAACGAAGCCATCCCTTGGCCGCGACGAGAAGAGCCATGCTTCCAAGGTAACAACAATTACGTGTAGCGAACACAAGCGGGCTCACCCGAAGGTTCTCCGTTAAAGCAAGCCCTAAATAAACAATACATCGTCGTGCGCAAGCGAACCTGAGGGTCGGGCGCAGCTCCGTCGGTAGTGACGATCATGAACGACGTAGCGGCAGGCGAGGCACTGAGGAGCTCCCTGCCCTTGGCGATACCGTCGATGATGTCGGTCCCGCCCGAGTACTTGGCGTCCGCGTCTACGAACGCGTTGAAGTCCTCGAGGGAGTAGAATGTGCCGCCCTCCGAAGCTGAAGAAGAGAACTGGGCGAAGGACGCGCTCCCGCCGTTGGTGAAGAGGTTCTGTTCGGCGAAGGACGCCACCGTGTTCTTCGCGAACTCCTTCGACAGCTCCCAGTCGGCGGTGCTAACGCTACCCGAGGCGTCGATGATGACGGCCACGTTGACCTGTGTCGTAGGCATGCGGGATACTCGGTGGATGAGATTGGTGTCGAGCGATGTCACATGGCTAGAATTACATGACGAGTGTCGACGACATACAATGCACGATCCGTGTTCCGTCCGGAAAAAATCAACCCGTTCAGCTCGCGGGTCGACCCACCGCCCAAAGCATGCAGGTGCTCATGCCTCAAGGTTTCTTCGATCGAACAACTAATCGTTGTGAGGAGATGCCACAACATGTCAGGGCTGCGGAGAGCCGACAATGGTTCGGCCTGCCAAAAGAGACCGCCGACGTGATCACCGACTCTCACGTCGAGGAGGGCACAACAATCGATTTGCCTCATATGATATTGCTCGCAGTCACGGACACCCGACAATTTATTGTCTGGTGGTCGGGATATTTTCAAGCTTCACACGTCCACACCGTCATTAATACCTGCCGGGGGGGGGGGGGGTTGNGGGGGGGGGGGGGGGGGGGGGGGGGGGGGGGGGGGGGGGGGGGGGGGGGGGGGGGGGGGGGGGGGGGGGGGGGTTGAGGGGGTATACCAGAGAGGGAAGGTCCCTGTTCTCTGCTCGCGAACAACTGACGCATGCCGCGAACTTGGAACACAAAAGCGGTTCAAATTGCGGACTGTCAAGCAGGGGAGGACTCACCGTGTTCGCGGTAACCGTGGTCTGCCCCTCCATCGTGAAGGAGTACTGGCTGCCCGCTTCGCAGGGGCAGTTAGTCCCCCACGTCGGGTAGGCCACCTGGACGCATGACTCCTGGCCGGACACGCTGCCACCCAGGAAGAGGGAAAGCGCGCCGGTGGCGAATAGACTAGATCGGCCCATGGTCGTGCCAATGCCGCCGCTGCTGCTGCGTTGGTGTGCGATGTGGGAGGCAAACGGGATCGGAAAAAACGTCAATGAATCACATGTCATCGCTTCGACATACAAACTAGAGTTTTACCGCACTTATTTAGAGTCAGCAGACGTCGGTGATTTTGGCTCAGATCGGGATCCCAGCAAGATGTCATTCTTTGGAAATTAACATCAGTGCAACTGGCTAGTTCGGCCCTCGTCGGTAATCTCGCTCCCCACGTCCCGGTGTCAACAAGATGCCATTGCTTCCCAAACACAAAATATGAGTTGTATCGTATTTATTTGGATTCGGCACTTGGCGCTAATTTCGCTCACAACGTCCCGGCGTCAACAAGTTGTCGTTGTTCCGGAAACACGAGAGTTGTAAACACGAGCGTTTTAACACGAGAGTTGCCGCAATGGTTTGGATTGGCTCGCCCGTCGGTAATTTCGCTCACGAGGTCGCGGTGCCATCCAAAGTGCCATCGCAGCGCCATCGGTCAGACTCGGCATCCATCACCGGTGATTTCGTACCCGTAGGGGTTTTGGAGCCAGCGTGCGCAAAAAAATATACATGTAACGCGGGATTTCATCCGCATTTACGCCGCGGTATCGCTGTTGTCGCAGGCGCGGGTAAAATAAATATCCACGCGTATACTATCAAATAACTCATGAAGTCAAGGAATTTCATTCGCTGGCTGTAACTTGCCGACATCGGTGAATGTTTAAAACTGGGGTGTGTTCGGTACGGATCCTAAACATCGTGAGGCTGCCCCCACTTGTACCCCAGGAAACGCCTGCTGTGTTTGCTTCTTCGGACTCAGCAACGTGCAAGGGCCAAACTACTGCTGCTCCGTAATATTCCGCATCGCAAGTATCGGTGCTATCGCACCGGGGGTAAGATGAAAAAGTGCCATTCAAAGCACCAAGTGATTACCGTACATGACACAAGATAACACACCCCCTGGGCCGATTTTCAAAGCTCGATTACTCCACGACGAAGAGGATGCAAAAACGAAACGATACGTTTTCGAAAAGCTCTCGACGAGACGGTTTTAACGCCGGCATTTTCGGCGCTGTGACTGTTCCGGCAGTTGAGAAATCGAGCTTCGAAAATCGGTCAAGGGGGTTTGTTATCTTGTGTCATATACGGTATGCACTTTAAGTCTTGCTTTTACTTTTTCTACTTTTTCGAGCCGATGTAGGTCATAAAAAGATCTGTGTGTTGGCACGGGCGTTCGAAAACATCGCATCTTGCCGAAAATAGGCGATAACGCTCTAGAAAATACATCCGGCCATCCGGCCGCGAATGGGTGAGAGGAAGTTTTACAACATACATGCGCACGACAAAAATCAAAATAGATTTTCTATTAGTCAAAGAAATAATACTTTACCCGTTCGAGATACAATCCAGACCCGCCCGTTTGAAGAAAATCGTCCCAGGATTCAAGCCCGCTTCCATCTTGAAAAATTTTACTTCAACAAACTGATTTTGCCTCCATTTAAAAACTTTTGAACGTTAAAAAACTGCTGTCAGAAAGGAAACGATGGCGAACTGCGACATATTCGCCTGATTGAGAGCGAAGTATCTGATTGAGAGCGAGAGCCAAAAAAATTGAAATTTCGGGTCCAGACGCCTCTTGCCATTTCTTGGCAAGTAGGGGACGGGCTATTCCAAGAAGCGGTGCAAATTGAAGGTCTCATCAGCAGCTTCGCGAGCATATGCGTGTCATCGTCATCGGATGCTGCAGCGAGGAGCTAGACAAGTTGCTAGATTTGCCCAGATTGGCTATTTCTGCTCAAACTGTTTCAGGGCGGTATCGCGTCGGGCGGTGGGCTCTGCTGTAGCTTCTGCTCCCCGCTGTAGCTCCACAACGAGAGACTCCCACAGGATGACCAGGGTAGCGGCTTGAAGCTACGGGCTAGCCCTTCAATTCAAGCTACACAGCAAGCTCCACCTCTCAGTGGTAGTCCGGCTACAGCGTATCGCGCAATCTCGCTCTCAATCAGATGCTACGCTCTCAATCAGGCGAATATGTTGTTTGACAGGAATCTTCAAGGAAGAGCGGCCAATCATTCGCCTTGCGTTGTCTGCTGTACGGCTGTCTCTCTTGATTCAAACTTTTCAAACTGCCAACGTCCCATCCATCTCTCTCAGCGTGTAGATGTGCACCTGACTGAGTAGCCGCTGACGACCGAAAAAAATGTTGCTCTTTCCACAAAAAGAATCTCGAAAGTTTTACTGTCACGATCAGTCAAGTCAAGACCCTCATGAAAGTTCGCCTGCTGCTGGCCGAAACATGTAAGTCGACAGTATCCCACGAATGGAGGACGGCGGTAAGCATCGACATTTGGGGGGTTTTACATAAAACCACACACCGCGCCTCCTGCCTCCTGCTACAATTTCATTTTTTACAGGGAAGAAAATCCCGCACACAAGGCGGAGGAACAGACAAAGAAAGGCGTCCGTGCGTGCGCACCACCAACGACGGGATTTTATCGCGCCATCCACCCCTATCCCCCCAAGGCCCGACCTCGACGCGTAAAGAACCATGGGACAGACGCAGAGCACCACTTCATTGATGCGTTCGAGGCCAGATGCACCGCGCTAAAATCCACTGCTGCTGTCGAGATTTTCTTACGTTTAGTGGCAGAGAAGATGGCACGCCCTGAATCTTCTGAGAGGGCCGAATCCTATCAAAAACAGTGGACGATCCTATAATAACCGTTTGCCACGCACACAATCTACCGTAGGCCTGGCAGCAGCGTAGCCGTGCAGCCACGACGTTTTTGCGCGATTGGCAGCACGTGCTGTGTTCACTGCGAGACCGTGAGCAACCTACACAAACCACCTAACGTGGCGATCGATTCCAGGCCGAAAAAAAATGTTGAACCGCAGAGTGATGCGAGAACGAAGACCACACAAACGAACATCACCCGAGAGAAGAGAATGGGGTACTACCGCTGTGTACGCACAAAAAAGGTGTGGTATCTACATGTCTACTGCTGTACGTTCTCTTCGCCGTGCCTATTCGCCGATGCTCTCAGGCTCAGGGGTGACAAAGGAGGCGCTCAAGTGTCTCTCTCGCATGAGCGAGAAATAAAGAGCAGCGGCTACGTACGACTTGGTTTCCACAAGCCAAACAAGCAAGTGGCACCCGCGAGCGCCACCAGCACCAGCAACTCACACGACGCACACTACACCTAGCTCTCACCGATTAGACCGCTGCAGTGGGCCAAGCGTTCGGTAGTCTTCGGAAGTGCAAACCGTAGCTCGTGCGGCTCGTCCCTTCTAAGACGCGGGTGGGGAGATGAGGAGAAGAGGAGAAGGTGTGGTAAAGACTGGCCAGGGTAGGCGTGCGCGCCGGTGAACGGAAAGACCAATCAACGGCTACTCGGCAATGAATTCGACTCCCTCGATACGAGAACAAATTTTGAACTTTCCCAGAGAATGTTCCGGGAACCATTCTGGAGGTCGGGAATATACCACCGCATCACACCCGAGTGAGAGGACGTTGGCTCTCCAGTTTGTTCGTTGAGGGATGATGAGAGAGTTTGGTTCATCATCTCGGTCAATATACTCTGCAAGCCTCTGTTCGTAGCGCAATCGCCGTGTGCCTCTGTGACCCAAGACTAAGAACTCTGTCATGGGTGACGTGAATGCTCTGCGGCAGAACACGTGTCGCAGCTTGTTTTGGGGCATGAACATCCTGTCATCTGGACACAACGTGCGTGTCGGATCTTTGGCAGGAAAATTGATTTGAAGAAATTTTGACGGCTCGTTTCGTCCGTTCGTCCGAAGGTGTCGACACTACTCTCTCTGTCGACACATCGTTCCGACAGCAACACTGCTTGTGATACATCCGTTGAATACATAAATGACCGCCTCACCGCAAGCGAGGTAGGCCACGCCAGCTGGAAATGAGGAACAGCGTGCAGTTACAGTTAGCCTGCGGCAGCCTCATACATATGTGAGACTTGATTGGCATCCAACTAGGAGTCTCGGCTTCCATGCCGGAAAAAAAGTACTCTGGTTGTATATCGAATGGTTGGTGCGTGTTGTCACTCACGCTCTTCAAGTCTAATTCTGTTCTAGAAACTTTGGAAATTGGGATACTTTATCTGTTGACCTACTGCGGGGATGTGTGTGTTTGCTACGCGAGGCTGTTGCGTCTGTTGTTGCTACTACTGCTGTTGTACTGCCAACACTGGCAGCTAGTGGTTCACTCTCTGTATCTACGTGCCATTCACCGAAGAGCACGCACAAAAGCAACTGATTTCAGACTCATTGACGAATCCAATTATGAATGAGAGTTACTGCCTGGAAGCAGGAGCATACAATAAAATGGTGACGAGCGATGAACGCCCCGCTCTTCGAAAAGAAAGTAGAAAACTCCACAAAAAAAACAACACCCGAACACCGCTACAGCGTTGTTCAGCAGTACACAGCACTACAGAACTGCCGAACAAAATTATCCGGAACAAGTTTTTTGGTCCCCCATTTCGCGGTGCGCGCAAACCCGACGTCGACACGAATCATGGGAATGCGACTGTATTTCATTACGGCCAATTACATATTTAGCCTACATGACGTGATAAGGGTGTTGCTCAACGTGCCCGAACGCTGGGCGGGGAAGACGCAAGGGGTGACATTCCAGGCGTCAAGTTTCTTGTTTTATCAAGCAGGAGATAGGCTGAATCATCGTCGACCGGCACGTCGTCGGTTGGTCGTTCTTTCGGGAAGAATCACGAGGGTCTCGTGGAGGACTACAGCAGCAGCAGTGGTATCATATGTATGCTATATATAGAGCAGTGGTATCTGCTACAACTTACTGCTGTACGTGCCTTCATCGGACAGAGTTTGGACCAACCCTTCGTTCATCTACACGACGTGGCCCTGGTTTGGTCCGGCGGAAAGGCACTGCTGCTGGTTGGTGACAACAGAGTCCGCCTCGAAATCAGCACTGACCGGCTGGACCATGATAAGAGTGAACGGCTGTTGCAGGATATGTTGACTAGACTATTCAAGAATGTCGATAAATCCCTCACGGAACTCCTACTTCTGCCTTTCGCTCTATCTCCCGGGTGTCTACCCAGCAGTTCCCGAAGGCCGGCACTACATATGGGAGAACCAGGACGACAAGCAACCTTACGTCGCCTCGTGGCATTCCAGCGGGGACAGGAGTTCCAAAATAGGCCATGATGCGAGACACCTACCACATCAACACACCGGTGTGTAACAACATCTACCAGCTCATTCGAACATCCGTCTCTGATCTGCATTCAGTACGCCGCCGGCGGACGGGCGCAAAAAAAATATACACCGCTATTCAATACAAATACAAAATACTTCGCATGTTGCTGTACCGCCGTGCAGACGAACCCAACACCAGAGCAAGAAAACAAACCCCCAACCCAGCCTGATCCCCAAGTGAACCGACTGCAACATGCACACAAGCAATACCTTTGTAACCAACACGGCCCAATCAAGACCTGTCCTAGAGAAAGAACCACACAGGTGCACTGATGCTCGTATCGGGAAAGTGTCCCAAACCATGTCGCGGTCTGCTGCTGGAGGGGGGGGGGAGCATTGGATCTCCGACCTACTTGTGTATTGCTCCAGACAATTGCACGGCCGCCTCCGGACTTAGTCCCCCAATCCAGATATCAAACGGCACACAAACACGACAGGCACCAAGCACAACTCCTGTGATAGTCTTCCCGCAGAGCGTTCAAAGAACCGCTTCAAGGAGGACAGAGAACCAGGACGTCCGACGAGAGCGCAGGCGCCTCATCCCGTCGATCCATTTCAAGTCAGCTGCTGCGCGCCTGCTTCAAGACGCGCAGCCCCCCAGTCGGTGTAAGCCGCCAACATTTGCGTGGTGGCGTTCGAGAGCAAGTCGTGCTTCAGCCCCAGCATTTCCTTCACCTCCTTGCCTCTGGGGACGTCAGCCGGGGTGGAAGCCTCGTCGAGCAGCTTCTGCGTGCCTTCGAAGCGCACAATCCCGTCTGTCATTTTTCGCGCGGGTCCGGAGAGTGTTGGGATTTAAGCGTGGAAGTCATTAGAGAGCGGACAACTGCGGATGAAACCACCACAATTACCGTCTCGTACTAGTAGGGGAGATCGCACTGGTCGGAGAGATGGCACCGGTCGGAGAGATGGTACCGGTCGGAGAGATGGCACCGATCGGGGAGATGGCACCGGGGTGCGCAAAAAAATACAAGGACGGCATGATTTCATTCGATTTACGCACCGGGTTCGGTGAGATTGCACCGGGTACGATCTCACCGACCCCCAAATCCAATATTGAACTCCGTTCAGCTGCCGGAATGAGGTACACGTACGTACCTTTTGCACGTGGGCACTGTGTCAGCGGAGAGCCACTCCTGTCCCGTATGTAAGTATGCATGGTCGCGGTTCACCCGAGTTGCCAGTTGCCAACCGTACACTCAACCAAACACACAACGTACAAGCCGCACCTTACCCCACCTTGCACAACACGAAACTATTGTACTGCTGCGTGCGTACGTACTGGTATCCGTAGAGGAAGACCGAAACGAAAGCGGAAGACAGCCTAACACCGTACGTACCAGTGCCTCAGATGGACACCACATCATTTGTTGTCCTTGTCACGCCGAAGCCAAACTCGCCTTCAAACACAAGACCACTCCCTGTGCATGGAAAGCTGTAACGTACCAGCCCACGTTGCCGTTACCGGTGTGCTTCCAACCAGCAACACAGGTACCTACACGTACGTGTGGTTCTATGCTGATCAAAAGCATTATCAACTATTTAGCGTGTGAAGAAGACCGTGTGTGTGGGTATGCCTACACTGGTATCACTACTATCGTGACGGTCGGGCAGATGGCACCGGGGTGCGTGCATACAATAACTGTGTGTATTTCATTGGGGATGGCATCGGTCGGAGAGAACGCACCGGGGTGCCTTCAAGAAACTAAACGAAATGACTTAGTTGCATTTCCGCACCGGGGTCGGAAAGATGGTACCGGTCGGAGAGATGGTAACGGTCGGAGAGATGGCACCGGGGTGCGATAAAGAACCCCAGGAGAAAACATTTCAAACACGATCGCATCCGGTGCTATCTCTCCGACTATTGCCGTACCAGCGGAACGAACATCTTCGCAAAAACCATCGACAAACGCAGACAAACAAGGCTGCCTCTCGGTAACGATTTCTCCGTTCGGTAACGATTGGTACGGGAACCAACGAACACGGTAAATGCGCGGAAAATGTTTGGGTGGTAACTGGCCGGTCACCACGGCAATTGCCTTGCGGGAACCAGCCGCCACGGTAATGCGCGGTAGCGTTGGATGGCAACACCCCACACGGCGCTGCATCGTTATTGTGCCGGGTTCTTGTTCAGCGCGTGACACCCAAACAGTGGGTTCCACAGCAATCACGAAATCACACGAGTGTGAACCTATCGCATGTACGTATGGCATAGTCTATTCGTTTTTACGGCGTTTTCGTTTTTCATTTGTTCGAGACTACAGGCAGGCGACATCTCGCCGCCAAAGTACCGAAAGAAGGGCCAACATGACAAAGACAAGAGACAACGAACTACATACGTCCAGAACTGCACCTCGAAATGTCTAATTACTTCATGACTACCCTTTTATCTGATCTACGTAAGAACTGAAGGCACCAAAAATATCTGTGACAAGATGCTTGCAACTACGATGTTGCGCATTTGCAAATCACCAGTTACCAAGACCGGTCGCCCCGGTGGCCTAGTGGTATCCTCTTAATCCGCTAGTCGCAGAGGTCGTGAGTTCGAATCCCCATGGGGGGGGGGNCGCGGAGCGGGTTCTCCACCCCGCACAACATGGTCTACTTGACCACCATTATGGTTACCGCCAAAAAAAAAAAACGGAGGTAAAAAAAAAAAACGGTAACCTGGTTGCCGAGTTCACGAAGTGAATTGGCTTGTTTTACAACGTCCTTGCCAAGCGACGAAAACCCACTCCCGATGGCAAACACCGGGGGGGGCGGCTTGTTTTACAACGTCATTGCCAAGCGACGAAAACCCAACCCCGATGGTAAACACCGGGGGGGACGAATCCCCATGGGGTGAAAAATTTACGAAAATTGCGGGTGAAAGCGAAATATGGCTAAAAAGCTCTCGTGAGTCCCAAACTTCGACGTTAGCGCCGTTGACGAGGGAAAGGGGGCTGGGCCCTTCTCGCGATAAAAATAAGATTTAGCACGCACCGCAGGAGGAAGGTGGGGCATGAAAAGAAACAAAAAGAAGGAAAAAGCCCTGGTGTTTACCCCCTCCTGTGTGTGACCCTGGATGGTTGTAGTTGTACGAAAAAATATACTGAAAAGTGTAGTACTCTACATACGCTGAAAAAGTGTAGTACACGTCTCACCACGAAAAATGGGGGGACAGTCGCCATAATAAATAGGACGAACACACACAAAACACACACACACACGCACACGCATATCGAGCTAAACAAGCATGATACGTTAACACGTGTACACTATATGCAACAAACCGCAAGCAAGCACTTGAAAGCACAACACAAGAAAAGGGACAGAGTGGGACTGGAATCCGCGACCTACCGCCGACCTGGAGGTCATGTGCAGCCGTCTCAGCTACTCCATGGTATTTGGTTTGGCAGTACCGTATGGTATTGGTAATTGAACATGTGCGCGGTGAATGTTTGGGTGGTGACGAAAAGCCGCGGGATTCGAAATTTTGCACGGCAATAGGCTGGGTTGAAACAACGGGGTATGGTATCCTTGGCAACGATTCAGACGGGAATGGGAGAAGACCATTTGCTCGGTAAAGGTTTGGAGGAGTACCATACCTGCAAACTATCGCGATAACGTTACCATTGACCATTCCCGTGGAGTTCCCGCGGGAAAAGTGCGGCGGGAAAATTCCCGAGAGGACCCTTCCAGTAAACGATCGGTCTTTTGATGGAACCGAGTGTTTGGGACTACCGAGAGTTGGCACAAAAAACAAATTACCCAATACTCAAACGTGGGCCTTCGCTGACGGGGTGCAACACGGTAAAAAGACGACGAGACCAACGCGAAATGACCTCACCTTCCGGGTCGTGAAGCACAAGAAACGGGAAGTCGACCTCGGAGAGTCTCGAGTACAGCTCACCCAGCATGTCTGAAACAAGACAAAACAAAGGCGCCAACGAACACACCGGTGTAGCAGTCAGTTTCGAGGAGGAGGCGTTCGGTGAAATGACCATAATTCAGTGCGTACGTATCCGCTAGGTCCCTTCGGCTGTGACGACCGACCGGGCCTATCTTACCCGAAACACTTTGCTACCGCACCTGCTGACTGCATAGATTGTATGCGTAAACGCTGCGACGCGTGCCCATCTCACCTATCAATTGCGAGCCAGTTCCGAAGCGCATCGTCCCGGGCCATCCAAGCCCCCCGGGTTGGCCAATCTTGTCCAGGGCTCCCATCTCGATGTGTTCCGGCTTGAGCCACACGAGCTCGGGCAACGACACTGTCGCCATGAAAAAAAAAAAATGAGAGGCTGTGTGGTATGTACATTGACAGCTTGTTTGCTCTTGCCGTGTTCAAGTTGAATGGCGAGTTTCGACCAGCCACCTCAGTGCCGGGGACCCCGGTGTATCGTTCATCTACCCAACGTGCAGACAAGAACGAGCGTGGGCGTTCAGTGGTGAAAGCACCCAAGACACAGCGAACTATCCTTCCGCACGCGAAACCGAAAAGGCTAACCGCGCGCGACAAAAACGATGGCGATGACTGCTATGATGGACGGCTTGTCACCTTTTTCCATGAACTTGGGGATCTGTCTGGACGGGAAGAGCGGGGCGATCACGTGCTTGAGGAGGAAGAGCACGGGTTCCTTAGGAGGGTTTGCTGGTTGTTGTTGTGGCCGCGTGTTGGCGATAAGGACGACAGCAGCAGTAGCAGCAGCAGCAGCAGCAGCAGCAGCAGGCGTACGAAGGGTTCGACGGCGTTGAGAGTCACACGCGAGCAAGGCATGCACGTTAACAGCAGCGGCGGCAGACCCAGCCACAACACGAAACATCAACAACAACAACAACAACAACACCCACCGCTACCAACAACAACAACAACAACAACACTAACAACCACTCTCCACAGATCGAGACGCGACGACCAAGCACCAACATGAACAATGACAACAGCAGCAACCACGCACCGCGGATTGCCGGGCAGTTAGTCATCACCCCGAGGAGCCGGGCGCCGACGTTAGGCCTGGTGGTGTCATTCTTCAGCTGCATGGCCATCAACAGAGACAGTCCTCCTCCCAAGGACTGACCGCCGAAGAAAAACGGAAGCTGCGTCATCTTGTCGCGAATGTCGGGGTCCAAGCCCAGGTTACTTCGCTCTGTAACGAAAAACACCAGATGAGCGGAGAAAGGTGAAACAATTGCAGCCCGGGTGGGTGGTATGTTGTTGTGCGAAGCACGATTGATGGTTATTGGCAGTATTTCGCCGGGAAGCAAGCATTTCATAGGGGAAGGAGAGTCGTTCCAGGATTAAAACTCGTCACTACAATTACAATGTATGTTTGCGATCAAAGAGAATTAAGATATACACGTGTATTTATGTGGTTTCATAATAAACTCTCTTGATTGCTGAAAGAAATACCCCAACAGCGGCAATCATTTCAACGGAGAATTCGATGAACATGCACACGCTGACGGTTTTCAACGAATCTGCTTTACCCCCATCCGGAGTCCCTCTGGTCACCACGTCCAGGATGGCTATGTTGTCCTCCAACTGTTAGCGGCAAGACGCGAGCAATTCGGACATGGGGGAAAGAGAGGCGTCCGTAAAGAAACAAATCGGGGGTGATGATGCAGATCATGCAAGCAGTAGAAATGACGGCTCGACATGCGCATGATGGAGGGAGGCAGAAATAGGTTGGCGACAATAACGATCGACCGACTCCTGGTAACACTTTAACACAAGGGGCCATGCAGATGCCATAAGAGAGGGTTGGCAAGCCAGAATAGTCCTCCCCTAAGCGGCTTTCTCCTAAACCGTACTGTGTACAACATGCATTCCTCGTGGCCAATGGCAAGGGATTTTGACTCTCATATTTCCGTGGCATCTGTTGTACCCATTCTCTCAAAGCGTAGCCGCCACAGCTGTACTTCGTGTGATCGATGCGTTGGTATGAACCTCACCAAGTGCTTGTAGTCGTTGATGAGCACCGTAGCGCCGTCACTACCGATGTCATTAGACAAGGTGTCCGTCACGAAGAATAAGTGCCAGCGGCAGAAGCGGCAGCAGCAGCAGCAGTAGCAGCAGCAGCAGCACGAGGGG